TGCTAAGTTATTTTTCCCTGTGAAAGTTCAAAACAAGTTCATCTTCGTTCACTTGTGATTTATGTTGTGTGATAAAATTTTAATTCAAGCACCAGTAACTTAATTAAGCAATTAACAGTTACTGTAGGTCAATACTCCGTCAGTGATGCATTACAATTTAACGCTATGACTGACATTGCTATTTGCGCTAACTTATATTACTTACTTTACCTAGCGTTAGATAGTAGGTTGTTTGTGAGATTATGATATTTTGTATTCAATAATAATGGAAAATTAAATAAATTCTACACAAATTATCAAACACTTGCATACATAATTAAAAATGTAACTTAGTTCGTAGCATTGTTTTTCAACGTTTCTGTACATTGCGAGGGTTGTCCAAACTCTGAAATATTCAGCTCACAAAGTTTTCTTGATTTATATTTTGCATTGTACACGGTATTGTAAGTCTGATGATGTTTTACTTTCTTATAGCTTTAGGCATGTTGTTCTATCCTTATTGTTATAGTTGGTGTATCTTAACATGTACAAACCGTCAGAAATAAAAGTCGATGTTTGTCAACCCTGTGGCGAGGAATTATCGTTAAGCATCATGGAATCCAGGGTAATCTAATGAACAGTTAACATTAAGTACTCTGTTGTAAGAACCGACTGATCTGTTTAACTGGTAACATTCAAGCTAAGTTTGTACCGCTTATAAACAGTGTGTTAAACATTGCTGCAGAGTTTAAAATAGATAAGTCTCGATGATAGAGGATTATAGTGGAGGGAATAATATTTACCGTCCGTATTTTTAATTCATCGCAATTTAAATAAATAAGAGAAACTACTGAATGACGGTAAAAATTAGCAAAACTAATTATTGCTAGTAAATTTCACTAATTATAATGCGTCAGATGAATATCGTAACAATCTAGATAGAATAAAATATTAGATGCATTCTGCGTTTAGAAATGAACGCGCTGACGTGAAATATTACCATAAACACATTCTTTTTAATTTTAATTAACTTGAAAGCGTCTAACTCAACAACATTACGCTAAGCTGTCCACTGGGGACCAGTCCATTACTTTAAAAATATTTACTGCGTATGATACCTTTTTAATTGTTATTTCATTTGTTTCAGGATATAAAAATACTTTACAAAACACGTGAACGCATCTATAGTTACTCTGGCTTTGCGGTCTATGGTCGTCGTTGTACAATTTGGTGTTCCCGCCGCCGGTTTACTCCCTTCTCTTAGAAACAAAATCGATAAACAACTATAGGTCTATTATGTTCTGTCACGGTTTGAACTTAGAACGACTTCAAAGTAATGAATCATGTTAAAGCTTTTACTTGAAGGTAATATACATATCCATAAAATAAAGATTTATAACATTTCGATGTAAAATGTTAGTTAAAAAGAGCGTGAAAAGAGAGCTGCGAATTTTGTTACGAGCTATTTAATTTTATCGCCATCGCTTTAAGTTTTCACTTAGAAATGTGTTAAGTTAGCGGTGCAGCTCTCTCTATGTTCAAAACGCAAATTTTATTGGAAGCATAAAAGCCGTTCCATTATGTGCTTACAACGGTTTTCTTATATTCGTTATTTTTATTCGGATATGTAAAACAGTACTCAACTACAGTAATAATTTTAATAAATTAGTTACATTCAAAAGTGTACAGATTATATAAAAGATTAAATCAAGATTGCGAATAGATTTCGTATCTAAATGAAAAATAAATAAGTACTTACAGAAAACAAATGCGTTTGCTTTTTTAAATAATTCAAGAAATTTATTGTACGGTCCAACAAATGTGTAAATCTTGTAAAGAAGCGAAATAGTTCTTCAGACTTCAGAATATGTTCCACGAAATAGAATATGTAGTTGCAGTGCATTGTAATAATACACCTATAATTTGGGTAAAAGCTGTTTAAACATAAATTACGATCTGGCTGCAAGCTATCACTTCTACGGTTATTTTGATGATAATCTTCAATGAGATTACTGTGATCCAGTTAAAATACGTGAAGCGCTAAGGTTCGTTAATTCTCACGGAATTCGGAAAGCGGCGCGGCGCAGACGAGCATTATCATAATTGATGAAAGCTGTGCGCACGCGCCGGCCCGCGCCTCTGCACAGTGTAACGTCAAATCGTATTAATTAAACACATTTTAAAATAGATTACTTTTTATTTAATCTAATAATGAAAAGAATAGTAGTACTTGACATCACAGCTCATGACATTTAGATTTCAGTTCCAACTGTGACTGTAATGAGGGATAAATTGGTACATCGTTTTCTTAAAACGTATCTGAGTATGTAAAGCGGAAGCTGTCAAGCTGACATGTCATATTGTGACCGAGCGACCCACATGTCATGCGCCAATAAACACGACCTGACATTGTGTCGTAACTCAGCCTTTAACAATCAATCAGATTGGGTCACGGAGCATTTGTACCACAATTTAACAATGATTTATGCGATACTGTTACATGAAGCTCGATTTTAAATCATCGCAGCGATTGCATGACAATAAACTTCGTCCCTATGCTTGAGCGGTACAAGGATACTCTTTTATATGGTAACAAATTCACATTTAGAACGATGATGATGAAGACAGAATGCGGTAAACAGTACAGATTATAAACGTAAATGAAGTAGCATCAGAAGCGACCTTAAATTACGTGCGGAGAAACTCAATACGACCACAACAAAGTGCGTTCACTGCAGAATATTTAATGCATTCTTTATTGTGTGTAGATAATGAATAAAGATTGATTGGAGCAGCGATTGTCGGCCGACATGGCGGCTGGGCGGCGGGAATGTGCGGCGCGCGAAACTGTCACGCGGTATCACCCGCGCCGCTGTCATCATATCGCACCGTCTCGGAAATTATACTGATTTGTGACAATTATGCACAGTTATTTCATGCTTGCGCTAATACTTTAATATAGGATATGCAGTAACATTCATATAAATTATCATCGTCAGTTTATTTTAAGCCTTTTGCCGAAGGTTTCGACTCTTATGTAGGTTGGCGCACATTAACAATTAGGTCAGCTACCTTTAAATTCTGGATGGAGCTGCAAACATCTATGGATGCTACTCGGCTTCAATTTATTTACAAAAGCTGTTGTATCCTGATGAAAGGAAATATGGGAGATAAAAGTTAACTTGGACCACTTTGGCTAAAATTGATATTTGAGCCTGAAAAGTGTACATCGGTATTATTTATAAATTAATAATCAGCTTTCAATATTCTTTTATTAAAGTTTCATGGTTAAAAATTGTGGTTTACTAAATAAACCACAAAATGCAGATTAATTAATTTCTAAAGTCTTGTAGAAACGCGAGAGGGCGTCGGTGAGCGGAACGGGATCCTAATTAAATTATCTGGAGCGTGAATTGTGCGCACATTTATGTTTTTTTTCTACTCAAGTGCTTTAAAATGGTTATTTTATTAGACACAGTATATTATAAATAACACCGTACATGCAACAGTTATTAACATAAAGTTATTGGAATCATGACATTATTTTAATTTATAACAGTTTAAAATAAGTTGAAGCAATATGTCTTTCTTAAGTATTAATAGTCTGACGGTATAAAAACACACAATAAGTGTTTTATACATTCGTGTTTAGTACTCAATGTATAGGATAACCAGGATTATAAAAATCTGTCCTAGTTACCGAATACCTATGGAACTATTATTGGAGTCGGCACTTTGGCATGGCATTAAAATTATTGTATTTGTTGATTATTCAAACAAGCATCATTATTAAACAGTGATATTGTCAATATTTTTAACGCACTAACTTTTTCCTATTCCTTGAAAAAAAAAAACTGGCAACACGAACTGTTATGATTAAACTTTTTTAATCTATAAACTAACCTACATATGTCAAACAATTGTCAAACGTCAATAACTGTCAATGTCACTTTTGTGACTTGGAATTGGAAATATGAGGTTATGTTTATGAGGCGAATGGTGATTCAATAATTATGCAGTAAAATTTATTTTTCCATCATTTAGTATTCGCAGAATAATAAATAAATATGTCCCTAATGCCTTTTCGACTTACTTGCCTCACCAAAATGGCTTCAACCGCCTTTTATTCAACCTTAACAAAACGAACGATAGCATATAAAAGTGCAATTTCTTTAGAAACTTTATATGCAAATAGTTCATTAAAATTAACCACACCGTCATTCGTAAGTACTTGTTATTATTTTATTCATGATAAAACGTAGCCAGAAAAGAGATTTACATAGTGTTCACATCCATTTTCAGACACCAGACCCCAAGGAGAAATTCTCAGGCTTTATTCCAATGGAGAAGTTGGATATAACATACAGTGCTAGCTCAGGTCCAGGGGGGCAAAATGTTAATAAGGTAATCTACATGTACATTGTTTTATACTGGATTTTTTTACATTCTCTTTGTGAATCCAATCTCTCACGATAAGTGTAATGAATCAAGAAATTAATTTAGGGTAAAAATGTACAAATGGTTCTTTACTTATATTTAAACAAGTTTTTTTTTATTCCAGGTGCACACAAAAGTAGATCTCAGATTCAAATTAAGTGAGGCAGATTGGTTGCATCCTGACATCAAGGAGAAGTTACTTGAATTGGTATGTTTTGGTTATTTTGAAAGTAGAACCTTGATAAATGAGAATTTAATAAGCAAGGAACATCTATAGTTAGTTCCTATAAGTTGCAATGACTGTTTCAATATGTCTAAAACCTAGAAATCTTTATAAACATAAAAAATGTCACAGTCCCTTGGAATCTTACATATCCAGATTCTAGGTTATTTGAAAAATTTAACAGTGAAATTCATTCATTTAACAAGAATTTTCAATTTACACTAGCATGGTAAGAAGCTATCTAAGGAAGGTTACCTGATCATCCGGTCAGACACGACCCGCTCGCAGCAGCTGAACCTGGCAGACTGCTTGCAGAAGCTGCGCAGCATGATCCGCACTGCTGCTGTCACACAGCGAGAGCCCGCTCCAGAGACACAGGAGAGGATCCGACAGAGGTCCGACATACAGATTATATTAGACATTCTAAATGATTATTGTGGTATTAAGAAAATTTATCTAAAAAGTGCAACAAACTATTGTTAATTTCGTAACAGTATCTTTTGACATTTATGTAGTACTTTTACCCACTGCATTGTTTGTGAGAAATTGAAAAAAAGTATGCATGTGTTCTTGTAGAGAATATTCTACATCTGAATCAAATTTTATCAAGACCTGCTAAGCCATTTCAGAGGTGTGTAGTAACAAACATGTACACATCCAACCAAACTTACTATATTACATTTACTATATTAATATGACAATAACTATAATCAAAACTATTTACATCAAATGTATACTGCCTTTTGCTTGGAAAGGTTTAATTATTAGTTACACATTGGATTGTGCCGTAAGAATTCATGTTCCTTATTTT